GTTGTCCAAAGATTGTTTATCTTCACTTGTGGTTTATGCAAGTATAGGCTTATAAGCTGGACACGAGTTCTCTCACATTGACAGTGGCTTGACGAAAATTGCAGACTGACCCCTCACTCATCTGGTGCCTTCGGGAGGTAGAGATGTTTGAGATATATATATCTCGAACTATCTACTTCTTTTGTAAGGTCTGATGGCGTAGTGGGTTAAAGCATACTAGTTATGCCAGCTACTGGAAGGTAGTTGTGCTTTCTGGGTTCGAGTCCCACTGGTGGGTGTTGTCCAAAGATTGTTTATCTTCACTTGTGGTTTATGCAAGTATAGGCTTATAAGCTGGACACGAGTTCTCTCACATTGACAGTGGCTTGACGAAAATTGCAGACTGACCCCTCACTCATCTGGTGCCTTCGGGAGGTAGAGATGTTTGAGATATATATATCTCGAACTATCTACTTCTTTTGTAAGGTCTGATGGCGTAGTGGGTTAAAGCATACTAGTTATGCCAGCTACTGGAAGGTAGTTGTGCTTTCTGGGTTCGAGTCCCACTGGTGGGTGTTGTCCAAAGATTGTTTATCTTCACTTGTGGTTTATGCAAGTATAGGCTTATAAGCTGGACACGAGTTCTCTCACATTGACAGTGGCTTGACGAAAATTGCAGACTGACCCCTCACTCATCTGGTGCCTTCGGGAGGTAGAGATGTTTGAGATATATATATCTCGAACTATCTACTTCTTTTGTAAGGTCTGATGGCGTAGTGGGTTAAAGCATACTAGTTATGCCAGCTACTGGAAGGTAGTTGTGCTTTCTGGGTTCGAGTCCCACTGGTGGGTGTTGTCCAAAGATTGTTTATCTTCACTTGTGGTTTATGCAAGTATAGGCTTATAAGCTGGACACGAGTTCTCTCACATTGACAGTGGCTTGACGAAAATTGCAGACTGACCCCTCACTCATCTGGTGCCTTCGGGAGGTAGAGATGTTTGAGATATATATATCTCGAACTATCTACTTCTTTTGTAAGGTCTGATGGCGTAGTGGGTTAAAGCATACTAGTTATGCCAGCTACTGGAAGGTAGTTGTGCTTTCTGGGTTCGAGTCCCACTGGTGGGTGTTGTCCAAAGATTGTTTATCTTCACTTGTGGTTTATGCAAGTATAGGCTTATAAGCTGGACACGAGTTCTCTCACATTGACAGTGGCTTGACGAAAATTGCAGATTGACCCCTCACTCATCTGGTGCCTTCGGGAGGTAGAGATGTTTGAGATATATATATCTCGAACTATCTACTTCTTTTGTAAGGTCTGATGGCGTAGTGGGTTAAAGCATACTAGTTATGCCAGCTACTGGAAGGTAGTTGTGCTTTCTGGGTTCGAGTCCCACTGGTGGGTGTTGTCCAAAGATTGTTTATCTTCACTTGTGGTTTATGCAAGTATAGGCTTATAAGCTGGACACGAGTTCTCTCACATTGACAGTGGCTTGACGAAAATTGCAGACTGACCCCTCACTCATCTGGTGCCTTCGGGAGGTAGAGATGTTTGAGATATATATATCTCGAACTATCTACTTCTTTTGTAAGGTCTGATGGCGTAGTGGGTTAAAGCATACTAGTTATGCCAGCTACTGGAAGGTAGTTGTGCTTTCTGGGTTCGAGTCCCACTGGTGGGTGTTGTCCAAAGATTGTTTATCTTCACTTGTGGTTTATGCAAGTATAGGCTTATAAGCTGGACACGAGTTCTCTCACATTGACAGTGGCTTGACGAAAATTGCAGACTGACCCCTCACTCATCTGGTGCCTTCGGGAGGTAGAGATGTTTGAGATATATATATCTCGAACTATCTACTTCTTTTGTAAGGTCTGATGGCGTAGTGGGTTAAAGCATACTAGTTATGCCAGCTACTGGAAGGTAGTTGTGCTTTCTGGGTTCGAGTCCCACTGGTGGGTGTTGTCCAAAGATTGTTTATCTTCACTTGTGGTTTATGCAAGTATAGGCTTATAAGCTGGACACGAGTTCTCTCACATTGACAGTGGCTTGACGAAAATTGCAGACTGACCCCTCACTCATCTGGTGCCTTCGGGAGGTAGAGATGTTTGAGATATATATATCTCGAACTATCTACTTCTTTTGTAAGGTCTGATGGCGTAGTGGGTTAAAGCATACTAGTTATGCCAGCTACTGGAAGGTAGTTGTGCTTTCTGGGTTCGAGTCCCACTGGTGGGTGTTGTCCAAAGATTGTTTATCTTCACTTGTGGTTTATGCAAGTATAGGCTTATAAGCTGGACACGAGTTCTCTCACATTGACAGTGGCTTGACGAAAATTGCAGACTGACCCCTCACTCATCTGGTGCCTTCGGGAGGTAGAGATGTTTGAGATATATATATCTCGAACTATCTACTTCTTTTGTAAGGTCTGATGGCGTAGTGGGTTAAAGCATACTAGTTATGCCAGCTACTGGAAGGTAGTTGTGCTTTCTGGGTTCGAGTCCCACTGGTGGGTGTTGTCCAAAGATTGTTTATCTTCACTTGTGGTTTATGCAAGTATAGGCTTATAAGCTGGACACGAGTTCTCTCACATTGACAGTGGCTTGACGAAAATTGCAGACTGACCCCTCACTCATCTGGTGCCTTCGGGAGGTAGAGATGTTTGAGATATATATATCTCGAACTATCTACTTCTTTTGTAAGGTCTGATGGCGTAGTGGGTTAAAGCATACTAGTTATGCCAGCTACTGGAAGGTAGTTGTGCTTTCTGGGTTCGAGTCCCACTGGTGGGTGTTGTCCAAAGATTGTTTATCTTCACTTGTGGTTTATGCAAGTATAGGCTTATAAGCTGGACACGAGTTCTCTCACATTGACAGTGGCTTGACGAAAATTGCAGACTGACCCCTCACTCATCTGGTGCCTTCGGGAGGTAGAGATGTTTGAGATATATATATCTCGAACTATCTACTTCTTTTGTAAGGTCTGATGGCGTAGTGGGTTAAAGCATACTAGTTATGCCAGCTACTGGAAGGTAGTTGTGCTTTCTGGGTTCGAGTCCCACTGGTGGGTGTTGTCCAAAGATTGTTTATCTTCACTTGTGGTTTATGCAAGTATAGGCTTATAAGCTGGACACGAGTTCTCTCACATTGACAGTGGCTTGACGAAAATTGCAGACTGACCCCTCACTCATCTGGTGCCTTCGGGAGGTAGAGATGTTTGAGATATATATATCTCGAACTATCTACTTCTTTTGTAAGGTCTGATGGCGTAGTGGGTTAAAGCATACTAGTTATGCCAGCTACTGGAAGGTAGTTGTGCTTTCTGGGTTCGAGTCCCACTGGTGGGTGTTGTCCAAAGATTGTTTATCTTCACTTGTGGTTTATGCAAGTATAGGCTTATAAGCTGGACACGAGTTCTCTCACATTGACAGTGGCTTGACGAAAATTGCAGACTGACCCCTCACTCATCTGGTGCCTTCGGGAGGTAGAGATATTTGAGATATATATATCTCGAACTATCTACTTCTTTTGTAAGGTCTGATGGCGTAGTGGGTTAAAGCATACTAGTTATGCCAGCTACTGGAAGGTAGTTGTGCTTTCTGGGTTCGAGTCCCACTGGTGGGTGTTGTCCAAAGATTGTTTATCTTCACTTGTGGTTTATGCAAGTATAGGCTTATAAGCTGGACACGAGTTCTCTCACATTGACAGTGGCTTGACGAAAATTGCAGACTGACCCCTCACTCATCTGGTGCCTTCGGGAGGTAGAGATGTTTGAGATATATATATCTCGAACTATCTACTTCTTTTGTAAGGTCTGATGGCGTAGTGGGTTAAAGCATACTAGTTATGCCAGCTACTGGAAGGTAGTTGTGCTTTCTGGGTTCGAGTCCCACTGGTGGGTGTTGTCCAAAGATTGTTTATCTTCACTTGTGGTTTATGCAAGTATAGGCTTATATATATATATATATATATATATATATATATATATATATATATATATATATATATATATATATATATATATATATGACAATGTCAGACCACGGAGGAAAAATGAAACAGGAAATTTCCTTAAGTACTTTCGTATATTAAATACATCTTCAGAAGGTCCTTCTGAAGATGTATTTAATATACGAAAGTACTTAAGGAAATTTCCTGTTTCATTTTTCCTCCGTGGTCTGACATTGTCACATTCTTAATCACGTGTTTATTTTCGTGATATACACATATATATATATATATATATATATATATATATATATATATATATATATATATATATATATATATATATATATATATATATATATATATATATATATATATATATATATATATATATATATATATATATATATATATATATTATAAGATCCTTTCGTAATTTTTTTTTTTTGAAGGCGCAAGGGATAAATTAAGTAAAAAATAACACAATCATAATTTTGTTATTGTGAGAATTGTGAGTGAGTAATAGGCAGGTGTCGATCAGTTGCCAACTTGATATACGCCTCAAGTAGAGGCCTCGTTGGCTTCTGGACTCTGGGGACAAAGATAATGTTTGGCTGCTGGCTGAGGTATCAAGGTGCGTCATTATGTGTTCATTTGGGCTCCTGAGTGACACAGTCTAGCTGGAGCGAGCTAAAGTAGCCATTTACCCTAGTGATAACTTTACAAATTCGACATGGTAGCCATATTAGCTGATGACGACATCATCCAATGGCTCCTGTAATGTTGATACCTCTTGACCTTTGTTGACCTGTGTACGTTGTGTTGATCCCGGTATTCTCTTAATAAATGCGCGTATTTTCTACGCTCTTCTGAGGCTGACTATCGTTACACGGCCTACCATCCCTCTTACACTTGCTGAAGATGGTTCCCTCCAAGACCTTCTTAATATGAGGACATTTGTTTGTGTTTGAGAGACCTTCCTAATATTAAGGTGTGTTTCTTTGTGTTTGAGAGACTTTCTTAACACGAGGACATGTTTACTACTTGCTAATGCAGTTCTCTATTTGTGTTGCAGGAGGCGAGTGTGGAGGACCGCTGGAGGAGCACAGCGACGAGGCTGCACAAACACTGGTGAGTGGCACAGTCAACTGTCCATCTCAGTAACAATCAATCATGATAGTATTACGGGACTGTACGCAGTTACTATATGCTGTGTTACTAATACCTGCGTTACTGACTTGCGTTACAACAAATGGAGTTACAGGACGCTGCGTAACGAGACAGTGTATGTTTACTAAATTCTAGAGGTGGTGAGCAGTGAGCAGGTGTACGTTACAACATGTTCTGCTAGAGCTCTGTGGTTGGTACTGTCCCTGTCAACGACTGATTATCAGTTAGTGCACGCGCCACGGCCAACACAAACTTATAAATTGTTTATACAATTAAATTTCAAGTTTATTTAATGTAAAGTTTATGCATTAAATTTCAATATATTAAAGGAATACCTTGAAAAGCTTTAAGTGCAAGTTGGCCAAATACGTACTCACCTAGTTGTGCTTGCGGGGGTTGAGCTTCGGCTCTGTGGTACAAGAGCCGAAATGAAAAGAGCTTTTGGGTGAGAATGGGCGTGTTTAGTATGGTGCAGAGTGCTCACGGCGGTGTTCGTGTGTTCTGTGATCATCTGAAGTCTCGGGTCTCCAGGCGTGTCAGCGTGTCACGTGGTAATGTTTGTAAACACAGAGGAACCCCAGGCGGAAATGTTGTTATCAGTACACGTGGTGAGCCAAGCCTGGAGAGGTCCCACCCTCTACCCCAATAATATCTCCATTGCCACACTAGCTACGACATCCTGCAGCCGTATTAGAGAGGATTGCAGAGCAAGTTAATATTCTAGTGGTGTTTTGCTTTATTGCAAGATAGAAACTGCCAGACATCACCTCTCTTGTGTAGGAAGTGTTGGCCAGGCAGATGCGTCCCATACGGGAGGGCCAGGCACAGCCACCGTGGGGTACCTTGGACCCAGACAACAGCGATGGATCCCCCACTGAGGGCATGATGGCTATATCTGGGTGTGGTGCGGACCCCCACCCCCTACCCCACACGCCGCTGTGACGCCCCCTATTGTTTCTCTGACCCCTTACTTCATCCACGCCCCCCCCTCCTTCCCCCTCTTGGATTTTTCTCTCCCTCCTGCCTTCTCCATCACTCTCTCTTCTCTACTCCCTCCTCGACGCGTCTTCTTGTGCAAGCTCTGCCTTGTGGCCCGTGCCCGCGTCCTTCCCTACTGACCTCTTCCCTCCTCACCTCGCCCATACAGACAGGACCAAAGAGCCAAAGCTCAACCCCACAAGCGTAAGAATGTGATTACAAACCTCTTCTGACTCTTGCCCACAGGGCTTGTATGCTGACTCCTGCCCACAGTAGTTCCTCCCCCGCTGCCCGCCACCACCACCCTGGCGTCCGCCGCTGCTAGACAGTCACAACACGTTCACCAGCCTTCGTTACCGATACCTTGTAAACACTTGAAGCCAGCCTTCAGCTCTTGACTCCCAACATCGGCGGCATCACCGGCTTGGTGGCTCACCTCTGACCTCTGGACCAAGCGGCATTATAAATTGATCATAGGCTGGGAACCTGACTTCTTTTTTTCCTCGACTCTAAGATAAATATCTTGATCCAGAATAGGAGTGAGGGAGAGGAGGGAGAGAGACGTAATGAAGACAAGGGGTAGTTATAGCAAGACAAGGGGTAGTTAAGGGAAGACAAGGGGTAGTTAAGGGAAGACAAGGGGTAGTTAAGGGAAGACAAGGGGTAGTTAAGGGAAGACAAGGGGTAGTTAAGGGAAGACAAGGGGGTAGTTAATGGAAGGATAAGAGTAAGGTGGTTAAGGCGACCTGTAGTTGGAGGCTAACCGATCACCTCTGTAGACACAATTAGTGGTTCGTGTTGTGTGATCGTTATTACCTTATTAAGGTGACTGCTGCTAGGGCCAGGGTGATGGTGGTGGGGGGGGGGGGGGGTGCACGCCACGAGCCAGGGGAGGGGGGGCTGCAGGAGGGGCTGCAGGAGGGGGGGTGCACCTTTACTGTTGGCCTGGGGAGTGGAACACACTCTACAGTACTCTAAAAAAAATCCTTGTGCAGAGTTCTGAAGACGGTTCTTATGTTTAGCATGTATGTATGTATGTATGTATGTATGTATGTATGTATGTATGTATGTATGTATGTATGTATGTATGTATACACCTATATGTGTTATTGTCATGGCGTCATGCAGCCACGTGGAGTTTGTTTACTCTGGTTGTTCAGGTCAACCTCTAGAATCTTGGGGCTGGGGTCAGTGACACTATGTTGTGTGTGCGTGTGTGTGTGGGTGTGTGTGTGTGTGTGTGTGTGTGTGTGGGAGTACTCACCTAGTTGTGTCTGCAGGATCGAGCATTGACTCTTGGATCCCGCCTTTCGACCCATCGGTTGTTTACAGCAATAACTCCTGTCCTATTTCCCTGTCATACCTAGTTAAAATTATAAATAGTATTTGCTTCCACAACCTGTTTCTTAAGTGTATTCCATTTTTCCACTACTCTCACGCTAAAAGAAAACTTCCTAACATCTCTGCGACGCATCTGAGTTTCAAGCTTCCATCCATGTCCTCTCGTTCTGTTACTATTCCGTGTGAACATTTCGCCTATGTCCACTCTGTCAATCCCCCTTAGTATTGTATACGTTCCTATCATGTCCCCCCTCTCCTTTCTTTTTTCTAATGTCGTAAGGCTCAGTTCCTTCAGGCGCTTTTTATACCCCATCCCTCGTAACTCTGGGACAAGTCTCGTTGCAAACTGTTGAACCTTTTCCACTTTCCTTATGTGTTTCTGCAGGTGGGGACTCCATGATGGGGCGACATACTCTAAGACTGGCCTCACGTAGGCAGTGTTAAGCGCCCTAAATGCCTCCTTTCTTATTTTGAGGTTATCTTGAGATGATTTCGGGGCTTTTTAGTGTCCCCGCGGCCCGGTCCTCGACCAGGCCTCCACCCCCAGGAAGCAGCCCGTGACAGCTGGCTAACACCCAAGTACCTATTTTACTGCTAGGTAACAGGGGCATAGGGTGAAAGAAACTCTGCCCATTGTTTCTCGCCGGCGCCTGGGATCGAATCCAGGACCACAGGATCACAAGTCCAGCGTGCTGTCCGCTCGGCCGACCGGCTCCCTAACTCCTTACTTAGGTTTCTGAATGATGTTCTAACTTTTGTTAGTGTAGAGTACACTGCTGTCGGTATCCTATTTATATATACCTCAGGAGATAGATTAGGTGTTACATCCACGCCCAAGTCTCTTTCTTGCATCGTCACAGGTAGGCTGTTCCCCTTCATTGTGTAGTCCCTTTGGCCATCTATCACCTAGTCCCATTTCCAGAAGTTTACATTTGCTCGTGTTGAACTCCAGTAGCCATTTCTCTGACCATCTCTGCAACCTGTTCAAGTCCTCTTGGAGGATCCTACAATCCTCATCTGTCACAACTCTTCTCATTAACTTTGCGTCATCCGCGAACATCGACATGTAGGATTCTACTCCTGTAAACATGTCGTTAACGTATATTAGAAATTGAATTGGTCCCAGCACCGATCCTTGAGGTACTCCACTCGTTACTGTTCGCCAGTCCGACTTCTCGGCCCTTTACCGTAACTCTCTAGCTCCTTCCTGTTAGGTAGTTCCTTACCCATGCTAGGGCCTTTCCGTGTGTGTGTGTAGTAAAGAAGATATAGAGGCACAGGCAAAGAGAAAGGTTTAGAAATGGGAAATATAGTATGAGATATGATTGCTGCTTTTATATCGAAATTTAGGCCTTAGGCCAGGTACTGGAAATCAGAAAGGTTATTATAAGCGCCATGTTTCTCCAGAACACGACCTGCAAATCGTTTTTACATCCAGATTCAAATACTAACTTATGCAGATGTTTATAAGGTGGTATATGATTTATATATCTAATAACCATCTGATAAGAGGAATCTTTCATACGATATAAAACAAGCGTTTTTTCTCAAATCTAAATTAATATTATATATTATGACTATTATAGTTAGGTCTAAGTATGGTTATGTGGTCTTTTGGTCACTTGACTTGGTAAGTGTTTATAATATAGACCGAAAGTGAACACAGTATTTTTTGAGTCATAACTTCCAACCCGGTCAAGTGTGCAGACAACCCGTCCTCAGATTGCCCATTCCATCCAGCAGCCCGTCCTCATAAACAAAGGCCAAAAGTGATTCCATGCACCCGCCAAACCCCCTGTTTATGAATGAAAAGCGGTTTACACACGACTCACAACTGATGACGTTCAAACACTTCCGGAACAAGTGCTTCACCCACGTACTACAAATACAAATAATCACCAACAGAATCTAAACACCTAACCAAACCTTGTAACAATTTCCCTAAATCAATTTAAGATCTCCTGTGTATTTTATATATAAATATATAAAATACGCAAGAGATAAATTAGCAGTAACTTTATTTAATAATGCAAAATAATTAACCCTAAGCTAGCGACATCCTATTAGAGGCACGGTAATGGACTACAAATTGTACAGGGAACTCAGACAAATACCTTTATCACAGCTGCTGCACTCGCGATATTGTGGCCTTCTGGTGGCCGAGCACCCCCCCCCCCTAACCCCCCAGCCCTCCCATAGCACTAGTTCAATTCACACTAAAGATCTTTTACTCTTCATCCTTCAAGGTGAAGTTCGGCTCCACCCACTAAGGTTCATCTTGCCCTAGAAACTCTGCCCTTCATTCTAGGCCTACACCCAATCAGCTGAAACCAGGCCTAAGGTCGTGATACTGTCAGTCAGTGACAAGTAATGCCTGGCCCTTGTCTAATGAACAAACTTTAAAAACTTCAGAGGCAGGGTTTTCTCACCTAAAACAGGATACAACTGACTCTGGCCTACTGAAGGGAGACGTGACAGGATTTCACTTCACTTGTAATTTGAAAGGTAAATAAACCTTACACCCCTCGCCATCCAGAAGAAACAATTAACCTTATATGATTCGACTTTATATGAATTAACCTTATATGATTCGAAACAATTAACCTTATATGATTCGAAACAATTAACCTTATATGATTCGA